GGCCGGGATACGAGTTGTAGTAGAAGCAGGCGGTGGAACGATTATTATTGGGGGAGGAGGCGTTCATAGGAGGCTCGACGGACGTTTCACGGTGCAGTACCATATCTTTTTCTTCGTTGGTGTTATCGTGGCTCCGATCGCGCTTGTCCTTGCGTAAATTACCGTTATCGTGATTGTTGTTGCGTTCGAAGGCGTTCGAGCCGACACTGATCCTCACACAGCCGTCACCGACACCGCCACTTCCACAACGCTGCTCGTTCACCAGATTCGTCGCACTCACGACCACACCACCGTCACGCTTGCCCGAACGTTCGCACGCGATCCCGTTCTCCTTCTCGGCTTCGTTCCCGACCACCTTCTCGTCCAGCGTCAATCGTACGGTCGATATCACCCTTCCGTTCTTCTCACCATCCGGATTGATCTTGATTTTCACCACATGGGCCGCCTGCTGCTGCTGTTGCTGCTGATAATGATTGTTGTAGTGGTGTTGCTGTTGCTGTTGCGCGTGTTGGTGCTGTTGTTGGTGCTGGTTCTGCGAGCTCTGCGCCGACTTCACGCCACTCTGCTTACCGTACCCGTTCGCGGCTTGCACTTCCGGGATTCTTCTTCTGCAGGCCGCCGAGGAATCGACGCCAGGAGCTGCCAGACCGACGAATACCGTTGCTCCGGCCCCTGTGCTCAGAGGAGCTGTGGGGGGATTGGAAACAGTCCGGATTGACACAGTCTGTCGGGCAACCTGACTCGGGGGCTGAGTCTTGGCCGGCAGTGTCGGTGGAACGGTCATCGTGGCGACCTCGTCCATATACACATTCGAGGACACTGTCACTACGTCGACGAGATACACCTGGTCATCAACCGAACCGATCCTCTGCTTTCTCCCGTTTCTTCGTACGCGCGTCTCTTTTCCCTTCTCTCTTTTCTTTTCTTTCCTTTTCTCTCTCTCTTTCTCTCTCTTTCTCTCTCTCCCTTTCTCTGCCTGCGGAAATCAGATTTTTATATATGTATGTGTATGTATATGCGCTTGGGATCCTTTAATTAATCGGAATAATTTTTATAGGGCGTCGATAAGTGTGATTGGAAATTCGAATTAATCGGAATCCTCGATCGGTATTTTAAGTACGTAACGCGTAAAAGCCGTTGATGACACGGATGGGTGATTCGAATTACTAGAATGAAATCAAGTTAATTGCCACGTGACGATAAGTTTTTTAGAAGATTTAATAATTTTTCTACGTAACGAGTCACGTAGGCGACAATTTCACGACGAGGAACGCAACATATGGCGCGACATATTGCAGATTTCCGGACCCATTGCGCGCGAAATCGTCGACAAGAAGTGTCAAGTACTTTGTTCTCGTGTCCAGATCCAATGGGTACGAGACTTTCAATCACTACCGTTTTTACTTCGAATCTGGCGCACAGAAAGACAGAAAGTGGTTTCCTAATAACTTCCAATGCTCGTTAACCGATCGAACGCAATCGATCTGCGACACTGCCTGATCTCTGCTGGGAATAATTATCGTCCGCGAGATAAATCGTAGTCGCGATTAATCAGCACTCGAAAAACGTTCTTGAAGAGCGATTGCGAACGATTTGGAAACATCCGCGAAAGAGAGAATTTGCCTCCTTGGAGAAACGACGTGAATACAGAAGGAGTTCGTTGAAACGAAACGTTCATGGAAGAAGGAGAGAAGAGAACGCGAGAAAAGAAAGAGAAAGAGAGAAAGAGATAGAGAGAGAGAAAGAATAGCCGCCACTTACTAACCGCATACGTTTATCAAGAGCAGCGCATGGTAAAACCGCGACTCTATTCGACGACGACACGGTGACGACGGTCGACGACGGCGATCGTTCACGGTACGGGCCGTCAGTAACTGTACTGAGTGCCTCTGACACTTACTCATGCAGTTTCGTTGGCCGGGGTGGGGGGCCAACTTGGGACTCGCGACGGGGCACAGCGAAACGCGGGAGTGGGGGAACGGCTGGTTCTCTGTCGCGGAGTGGGGGTAGTATGGGCCAGACGGCGAGCGTGCGCACGCATACGAATGCGGCGCGAACACACGTAGGATGTAGCGACGTGTGGAGGCTTTTGGAACGGGCGAAAAAGGAAAGAGATCGGGAACGAGAAGGTTCGTAGATGAAGTAAGAAAGATATATATATATAGAGAGAGAGAAGAAATGGGAGAGATGGAATACGGAGTGAATGAGCGAGCGAGTGAAAGACCTGATATTCGAGTGTGTGGGTAGGTAAATAAGCGGTTAGGCGGGACGAAGTGCGAGTGAACAAGCGAGCGCGTTAACGGGCGATCGAGCGAGTGAAAGGACGAGCGCGCGAGCGTGTGTATCGATGAATAAGCGAGAAAGAGGCGCGAGAGTGGAAGAAGGGTGGACGAGAACGGGTCTCTCTTGGAAGTCGTCTGGCACGTAAGCACTTGCTTGAGGAGGACGTGGCGTCCTCTACCGAGCCAGGTAGAATCGACTATCCGGTTTCTCATTTAAATACCTGTTCTTTACCGTTCACCGGCTTTCTCGTGTGTGCGTGTGTACACATTTCGTGCGAGCTTTGTACACACAGGTTGTTCGAGATAGGTTGTGCGGGCATATATGGGTACCAGATCGAATGGGTACACCTGCTAAAATTTTATTGATACCGTTCAGCGTTCTTTGGAGCGGAATGAAAGATCGAGCATCCAGCGTGTCTATCTCGCCAAGGTTGTACGCGTGTATTCGTAGATATGTGTGTATATATGTATGTATATGTATGTATACGCGGATGAAGTGCGTGAATGGAAAGTAAACGAGAGAATAATAGCGAGAATGGCGAATTTTCTCGATACAGGCAAGGAAATGTTTCTCGTGACGAAAGAACGTATCGAGCGAATTACGCAACGATTGTTCCTTTTGTTTGCCCCTATTAACCGTAAGCGTTGCAAACGACCGTGTAATTACTTTTACACGAGAGCAAAACGGTTGTAATTCTTCGATAATTCGCGTCACATTGTGGAAGCGATGAATGGATTTCTCTGGATNGATGATGGCACCAACTTTTCTCAATTATATTGAATATTGACGTGGAGACGAT